CGGGAGGGGCGGGGCGTCCGTGAGGGGCGGGAGAACGGCGGGAGGAGCGAGGGGTCCGTGAGGGGTCTAAGCAAAGGCGGGTGGGGGTCCGTGAGGGGTCCGGGGAAGGCGGGTTCAGGTATCCGTGGAGGGTCTAAGGAAGGCGGGCTCGGGGGTCCGTGAGGGCAGGGAAGAAGGGCAGGAAGGAGCAGCCCCCTGAGGCGTCGCCGCCTGCCCGGAGTCGGTTGCAGCCCCTCAGGTCCGAGCGGGGTGAAGCTGCTGAAGCCTTCCCCGCTCCGGCGGGTCCGTGCATGTTAATCCCTTCCCAATTACAAGGGAGTGAGAATCCCCAGAATTTTTACCTATTTGCTGCAGTCAGTGTAACACATCAACGGAAAAACGAGGCACTGAGACCCTGTTGAGCACTGGGCCCTCAGCCTTTCCCAGATGAAGTTTGAACCTGAAGCATTTTTTTTTCTTTATTGCCAACTTTTCTGCACCTGGCTTTTTCATTATACCACAAAATGGTATCTTTGTGAAAGATATTCATCTTTTCCCTCGAGGAAACCAGTCAGATTAGCTGTGAGTGCATTGGAGGGTCACCCCCCCCCAGCTTGGCTTGTTTGATCAGTTATATACACCTAAAAGGGAACAGGATTTTTAAAAGCTGTGATTTGGAAGGGGATAAACAAACTGAGGGCTGCATCAGCAGGTTTTTAGCCCAGGATGAGCAGGCACTAATAATAAGACCTGAACAGGGCAGCGGGGTTGAGTCAGCGAGGGAAAGAATCCCATAAAAGCTGGACAACAGGGTGTTCTAGGATGGAACTAAACTGGTCTATATGAGCAATTAGGACATAGTTTCATACACACTGCAAATAATCACACAGCAATAAAATTGATCCAAGCTTTGAAATGGGTATGTGAGGCAGGTAGGATACTCGGTCTTGTGTTTTTATGCACATTTTTAATGTATTGATCTAAATTTTTTTGAACAGAATGTTTTTGATGACTTAACTGAGGTACTCAGAAAGGAAACAAAGAATTTTATAAATAATTGGATCATAAGACATATTGTTGGTCTTTTTATAGAACGTATGTATATTGATTTTTAGATTATCCTTCATTTTGTGTTTACCTTCTTGAGATTTTTTTTTTAAGAAAATTGAAACACCTTTGAATAAAACCCTTCAAGTGCTTCTCTGGGGGAGCTCTATTCTTCTCCTTCAGTTCTTTAATTCAAGTTCATATCTTTTTGACAAAGGCTATCTTAATGTCTTTATATGTCCCCACTTTCAGAACACGTGACTGCTCCCTTCCTTTTTTTTCCACCATGAATTTCAAGGTGTTTGATTTGTGTTTTATGAAAGCATCTGGGTTGGTTTGCACGGAAATGAAATCAGAATAAGCAGTTTTGTCACTGTAGCAGCTTCTCTCAACCCTAAGATCTCCAGAGCATCCTCAAGCAAGTTCTGCCTGGCATTACCTGCTTCCAGACCAGCAATTTGAAGTAGGAAGGCAGCAATAAAAATAACATCACTCTGCTGATAAAAACTCTTCTATTTTTATCAGGAAGGGCTTCCTAACAGCAGCCTCCTGAAGGAGTTATTACACTTCCAGTCATGCAGGTTTCTAGGGCTGCTTTTTTCTGATTTCTGCTTGGAGCCTCTCTCTGTACCAACAGAGTTAAGGCCATCGTTGCCTTTCTGCATTGCTTCTCCCACACCTTTTACTGGAAGGCACAGCTTGAAAGCTGTGGGGTTTGAGAAGATCTGCACAGTTTAACACTTAAAGCGTTTACGAGTCAAATGTAGACACAGCACGTTGCAGAAGCGCCATCCAGTGGAGCAGAAAACTCCGTGTGGCTGCTGCCGTATTCCATTGATGGATGCGAGCAGGGCTGCTGCCCGGGTTTGTTATTTCTATTCGAATAACGCTGTAACAGCAAGTTTGTCTTCAAACAAATGAAAAGCTGCTCAGTTCCAGAAGGAAGACGCTGTCAGGATCCATAGAATAAACACCAGGCATTTTACTGCTGGTCCCCACATTTCCTTAACTGTGTAAAGACCATTAGTTCTTTTCTTTTTATTTTGGAAACCAGCTTATATTTACAGAGGCCTTTAGTAATTATGGGGAGGTCAATCTAACTAAAACCTTTATAGACTTCAGTAGATTTTGTTTGACTTTGGTGGTGGCTTCAAACCTTCTGAACTGATAGGAAGGTGGTGCTACTCATGTTTCAAAATGTCAAGGACTATTTTTTCATGTAAAGTAATTAAGTTACTAAGCTAAAGCTAGAGTTAAAACTATTTTTCCACTCCTGATACACTGTTAGTGTTACCAACAATGCACCAACTCACTTGTAACTGCCGAGTTGAACTCACCACTTCCCTGTGTTCACCCAAGGCAGAATAAAACTTGCTGCCCCATGGCCTTCTGTAAGATTGCATAAAGAAAAATATTTAATCTAATTGAACAGCTGGATGAAAAATAATCTGAACTAAAGGAGCATAGTTTTCACTCTGTTTATGTGCTTACAGAATTCACTTATTTTGCAGAGTGGGGTCTCCACGGATTACTCACCTTCTGGGATTTGACTCCAGGCTGGTTTCCTCTGCCAAACTCAGCGTAATTATTGAGGAGGAGGAAGCAGCTATGGCACAGTGTGGGACCTCACACTACACATGCAAGATACAGGCAAGTGAGTTAACTACTACTCTGCATCTTAAAGAGAAACATTTTGAAGAATAAATCTGTATTCTTTGTTGTTTGTTTCATTGTTTATCTTCCCTCCCATCATTCCCCCTGTTTTGTTTGATGCTGACATGCCCCTTTAGAATTGGGATTCTTTAGAATTCTTGTTTTAATGCAGACTCTCAGTCAACCAGAGACCCAGGCCATACCACTTGTTTTGAGTTGGATTTTTTCCTACAGAAACACATTCAAAAGTAAGGTACTTGAGATGAGTTTGGTTTGGGGCATTTATTAGCAAAAATCAGATTACTGACACTGGCAACAGCACACTTATTTCCTGAGCCAGAAACATCAGACCTTTCAGGTTAATAGGTACAAGGGATCTGATCTTGTCTGTAGGGTCATCCCTGGACATGAAGTGTGGTCTCCTGGGTAGAGCTGTCTCTGCAGGGAGGAGCCAGGACAACACCCAGATTCAAGCTCTCTTGAAGACCTGTCTGCACACTTGGTTCTCACAACGAAGCTCCTACCAAAAAAAAAAAAAAAAAAAAAAAAGAGTATAGATGTCTATAGTAATCAAAAATGAACATGAATTCTTTGGCCCCGCTCTCCCATGTATAATAACTTCTGCTTGACATTACAGTGAAGTTGTTTCAAAGCAGAATGTGCTTGCCATGTATCATCCACTACAAATACTACAGAGCTAGAAGAGTTGTGCACACTGTGACCACATTATAGATCTTATTTTGGTCATGTAGAGACAGAATTAGTAGGAATTTGAAGTCAATACCAGGTGAAGGTCATCTCCTTCAAGCCAGTGAGTCCAGCCCCTGTTCTTCTTCTCACCAGTCTGGACACAGACAAGTTTGTCATTTTCCCAGGTAACCAGGCTCTGTGGAACAGGAAACAAAAAATATTTCTGCATGTTTGTCTCAGTTTTGCAAAATACTCATAGACAGTGTCTATTTTCCTACATAAAAGAGGACCTAAATGCCACTCCTGAGTGAAAGTGAAACTCCTTGTCTGTGACTCAGGCTCCTACCTCTGTGTTCCATTACAAAGATTATTCTTTAAACAATTTCAGCTCAAGTATCTGGATTGATAATGGCATCTTAATTTTGTAACAGCCTCTTGATTTTATATATGCATCCTTACCTTGCATTTTCTGTTATCCAAGCCTTTATTATCCTCTTCAAACTCTTGTCCCACTTTGAACTCCAGCAGATAATCTCTGAATGTGCTGGTGGTGTGGATGTGGAATGAATCACCATCTTGTTTGATCACCTTCTGAGGCTTCAGCACTTTGGCTATTTTGCGTGTTGCAAAGTCAATACCTTGGACAGGAGGCAAAAAGGTCAGAGTTGTATTTATTACCAGCCACTTGGACAGCCAGCATTTAACCTGATTTACTACTAGAGGCATCTCTTAGGTAGTTTTGTTGCTTGCTCAGAACCTTTTGTTTTGTTCAAAGCTGTACATTACACAGATTCAGTTGCCCTCTTGTACATTTTACTCTTTGGAAACCAGTTCACTTGTTGCCCAATTCCTATGCAAGATTTATAGGACTTTGGGTCAAAATACTCCTTTAGGAGTTGGTTTGCCACACACAAACACCTCAAGCTTGGTCTCAGACTTACCCCTTGTTTAGTTAGAGGGAATAGTTTAGTGCCTATTCTCATCCTTTGCTGGAGGAAAGGAAATGTAAGAGTTAACAAGAACTATCTGCACCCTCTGCCTTAAATAGGACAAAATGAAGAGCAGTCCCAAAATGAATTCCTCAGGCTTGTTTTCAGGACATACCACTTGCTACTGGCACTTTTTAACTACAAATATAAACCATCACCCTTGTCAAAAGAGTTCCTGGTTGTCTGTAATGACCAGTCAGTGACAAAATCCTGATGTTCCTGGTAACACTGAGCTCCAGGCAGTGCCTCCAGAGTCTTTTCCATTTCTCCAGTGAATGTTTCCTTAGAGGAACAGGGAGGCAGCTGAAGCACATTACATCCTAATAGCACGCTCAGAGTTAGGGTTTCTGGCAGGGGGATGGGTAAAATGGGGGCTGTGCATTAATTAAGTTAGTTGCTTTTGCCACCTAGATTAAAACTATCAGTTTATAGGAACACTAGAAGTTTCTCACTTCATGCAGGCTGGGGTTGTGAATCCTGCCAGGGTGTGTTCAGTGACCATGTGTTGGACCATATGGGCCAGGAGTCAGTCTGTGCCTCTCTGGGCATTCCAGATGTGGCAGGATCTGAACCATATGGCCCTGGATTCAGTCTGTGCCACTCTGGGCATTCCAGATGTGCCA